CCAGGCCGGCCCGGCGGGCCCGCGGGCGGGAGGCCGGGACACCCCGCACACTCACTCTCCTTTTCGAGGAGAGGCCGTGTCCCCAAGGCCGCATTCCTTCCAGAGCCGCTCGAGCACCGGTCGCTGTCCCAGCCGCGTGTGCCCGGCGCACTTGTCTGTAGTCACCGGAGCCCAGGCCCGGGGACCGCGCTGCATCAGCACTTGGCAGTCCGTCCGTCCAAGGTTCAAGTAATGGGCCTCCTCGTGGTGGTGGTGGTGGTTTTTTTTTTTTTTTTTTGGTTGTTTGTTTTTGATGGTTTTGTTTCCGCAAGCTGGTCCTCCCTGTGCCTGCCGTTTGTCTGTCCCCGCCTTTCTGCTGACTGGACCAACACTGCACAGCGCCTTCACTTGCGTTGACAGACGGGTGTCCCATACGCCCCTTCAAAAGTAGTGCCAGGTGTAGAAAAGCAGAAGGCGCCGACCGTTGAGAGTGTGACAGAGGTGCGAAGTAGCATCCTTTATCAGCCCTCCAAGAGTAGAACGTTCCTTTCTTTTAAAAAATTGAGCAGATACCATGTGGAAGGCAGATGCTATGGTAAAGGGAGAATATGGCCAGTTCGGAGAGCAGGAGAAACGGTGTCCTCTGTGGAGCTGGTCATGATGGCGGCGCGGTCCCCTTTACGGTGGCTCAGAGAAATGCTGGAGGACCTTTACCTGAAGGAGAAAGAAACTCGGCTCTGTGGGAGCTCAGGGCGGCACCTGGGGGTCGGCAAGCGCCTCTCTTCTGTTTGACCAGAGAACGGGATCACCAACCCTAAATAGGAACCTGCTGTTCAGCATCCCCGGCAGATGTTTTTGTCACAATTTGTATTTTCACTCTTTTCTCTGGACGTTTGTTAAGAGCCCTGAGTGGTACATGGTACACCTGATGGGACGGGCACTCTGCCCTGAGCTTGTTCCGTGTTAAATATTCCCTTAAGCAACATAGAGATCTTTTAGTTAGGAAGCCGGGTTTAAACATTTATCCCTGTTTTTACAGACAGTGATGAGAATTCATTTTCTTTCATGTTACAAGTAGTGGCACTAAAAATTTTTTTAAAAATACACAATCCTGAAGCTGTCAGGGAAGAGAGAGTTTGTTGCTCTATTTTATTTACATACCATTTCCTTTCACCATCTGGTGACACGCTCCTGCACTCTTACCTCATCTCCAGTCACGCCACTCCAGGTTCTGAGTCCTGGCTGCACATCAAAACTACATGTAGAACTTAAACAAAATTTAGGGACTCCACTCCTTTGCAACAAAATCTCAGAGTCAAGTGTAGGCATGTTTTGCTTTACTGTTTTGTTTTGTTTTTATCTCTACAGATGATTCAAATCCATAATTAGGTTTGAAAAACAACTGCCCTATTCCCTAGCCATTCAAAGTCAAGGCTGTTCCTTGGGTGGGCCGCATGATTTCATCTTTTGTGTATGCTGTTCCTTCTACTTAGAACACCCTTCTCTTGATGTAATATTTAACTGTTACTTGTTCAAGACCTTTCAAGCACAAATGTAACCTTCCCTGAATCCCATATATTGCTTTTTATTTAGCATTTTGGTCATATGAAAGAAGCCCTCTCATAGGTGCAGTCTGGACCCATAGCCAAGCAATAAATTGAAAAAAATAGATTAAACATTGACTTATACACTATACACCAAAACTTGCATATTAATTATATCTGAATGAAGCTGTTGAAAGAAAAGTCAATTAAAAGTGAAAAAATATAAGTCCCTTAAACAACTGTATACCCACTTGCCAATATATTGAGGAAGTCCAAGACTTACTTTGCATATGGCCTGTTCATGAGAGTTCTACACTGTATGTCTCGCATAAACTGTACCTCTAAACCATCAGCTAAGAGTTCCCAAGATTTTGTTTATTTACAAGGAAAATATCTTAAGGCACTTGAGAAGCTATCTGAGTACAGATTTCTTCTCTATAATCTTTCGTAGTTACTTCCCACATTCAAACAACTCGGATTTATTGGGTCTTTCCAAAATATTAAACAGATTTTAAGAAAACAAACTTAATTTCCACGCTACTTCACTGGTTTACGTAACATTTCATTAAATTACAAAAGCATAGTCACAAGTACAACTGGCATAAACAGGTTTGGGAACAAACACAAGTAACTGGCAGATCGAACAGGTCGACTGGTATTAAGGAGTGGGCAGGCTCACTAGAAAGTAGCTTTCTAGCCATTCGGCATGTAGCGCAAGCATTCAGCATGATGTGGGAATTAGTAGTTTATGATTTACAAAGGAAGAATGAGTTAACTGTAAGGGGTTAAGTGTAATTAGACTTAGAGATTGTCTACTGTAGCTCCTACATTTTAATTATTTGATTATGTGTGTAATGCCTGCTATTAAGAGGAACCGTTGGGAAATCCCCAGACATTCTTACATCATCATGTAAATCTTCTCATGAAAACCAGTGGGATTTTCATAATCTAAACAGTTGTTTTTAAGCCATTTATACTAAGGTTTCTGGGTACTTCCAGAAAAGGACATATAACATGCTAATTTTCTCGTTAAAATCTTCGTCGGTTTCCTAAGGTTGCCATGACAAATTACCACATGTTAAAAAAACAAAAATGCATTCCGTCGTAGTTATGGAGGCAGAAGTCTCAAATCAAAGTGTCAGGACCATGCTCCCTTCAAAGCTTTCCTTGCCTCTTCTAGCTGCTGGTGGCTCCAGGTGTTCCTTGGCTTGGGTCTGTGAGGCTCCATCTTCACGTGCTCTACTTTCCTATGAGTCTGAGTCTCAAATCTCCCTCTGTCTCACGTAAGGACACCTATGCAGAAACAAAAGCCAGCCACGTGAGAACAACCAAAAGCTCTTCAGAGCTTGCTACAGCAAGGGAGGCAGCCACCGGCCCTTGTGTTTTGGCAGAGACTCAAAGGCAGGCAGAGGGGTGGAAAAAAGGGAAATTTTCAGATATGGCCTGATTGAAGGCTTTTGGCACAGGGAAGCTGTAGGAAGCTGTGGGGCTAGCTAGAAGCAGGGCATCCTGTGTGATTGGTTAAGGTGCATATTTTTCTTTCTCTGGTTGGTCCCAGGTTGGAAGTGGGAACAAAAATTAGAGAAGTTGTCAGTTATTAATAAATTTTGGGCCAGTTGTTACAGGCGTTATTGTTTGGCTTCCTGAATTGTTAGTAGGGATAGTGTTCCGACTTCCTCCAAGTCTGACTTATAGATAGCAGGCAGGCTTCCTGGGCTGATTACTGGAGATAATAGGTTGGTGGGTGCTGGTTTCCTGGGTCATTGCTACAGATTGTAGGTCAGAGTTCTGTTTTTATATATGATATGGTCACCGCTTGTTCAGTCTCTAACCTGTTATTGAATTTAGGGCCCACTCTAAATCCAGAATAATCTCGAGATCTTTAACTTAATAACACCTGCAAAGACCCTTTTCCAAATGAGATCACATACACAGGTTCTAGGGGCTAGGGCATGGACATTTTTGGGAAGGGGGCACCCCTCAGCCCACTGCATGCTCCTTTGGTTTAGAAGTCACGCTTGCTTGTCCTGAATGAGACAGGCTGGTAGTTAGTCATGACTGGGTTTCACAAAAGGCCTACCATTTCTTTTTCAAACAGCTGCCAGGGCATCTCGTAAAGCTTGGGATTCAAGCTACCCACCAATCCCTGTATGCCTACACCCCAAAACAAGATATTTTGGTAGTCCAGTCCTATCTATACATTCAGAGAACCCCCACCTTTGGTAGAAAACTATAAGCCACGTGGGTAATGTATGAATGTTGTCTATATTGTCATTGCTAGGAAGTTAAAGAATAGAAAAATCCTCTGGTTTCTTTCTGTTTTCAGCATTCTGAAACTTTAACTTCATTGCCTAGTCAGAGAACAGAATAACTTCTACTTTCATCAGATTCTAAGACGTTATATATATAACAGGTATGCAATATATTTTTAATAATTTAATTGATTCCTTTTGGATGACTGATGATGTCATAACTTCTTGAAAATGTGGTTGAAAAGACTAAGTCTTTTTCACCTGAAGTGTATATTATTGATTCTTACTCCTCTGTGCAGTATGTCACAATTTTTCCCATTATGCTTTTTTAAATTTATTTTTATTTTATTTTTTATTTATTTTTATTTTTTTCCATTATGCTTTTAAAATTTATTTGTTGGAATTGAACCACCTATATCTGATTCTTTTATGCTTATAACAAATATGGAACATAATTTTAAATTCCCTTGATTCCAGGAAAAAACTTTTAACTCATCTTTTCTCAGGTTAATTTTTTTTAGCTTACCCAGTTGAATAATCAGCTTTAATATTAAACTCTCCCTCCCCTTAGAAAACAAAAATGAGTTCACACTTATGTGACAATTATCTACATAATTTTTCTTTCCTCGTTTTCTAATAAAATACTCTCAAGGGGAAGGATGAAATTCTAAAATCAGCTACTTAAACTACCTACCTTGTGGGTCCTCATAGCAGCTTTTTCTATTCAAAATGGTGCTTATGTGACATGGCTGCACATATATAATTGCCTCTTAATTCCTCTAAGCCAAAAGCTCTCAAAAGCCCCAGTAGAGTTTGACAGCTTTGCTTTATTTTGCTCGCTAACTTGGAGGGATGTACCAGGTGATGAGTTTCCAAAAGCTGGAACCACATCTTTGTTAAAATCTCCTTGCACAGACCAAGTGTAAGGGCTTACCTCTTGTATTCAAATGAGATCACGCACAAATCGTTCTTATCACAGTGCTTTATTACATGCTAAGTACTTAGTAAATGTTAACTTGGGTCCTAATTGCTTCAGATTCCATCCTTCCCACTCATTGGGTATGTGACCTTTGGCAAATTTTCTAATTTTTCCACATCTTAGTTTCCTCATCTACAAAATATATGTAAAAGTAAAATCTAACTTAATAGGATTGCTCTGAGGGGGAGAAAAAGATAATCTATGCAAAAACACTTAAAACAGTGCCGGTTACTTAGTACTTAATAAACATTGACTATAATTAATATGGAAGAATGGTGGTTTATTATGGTATTTCCATTGCATTGTTCTCTGTAAAACTACTTTTTTAGTTGAAAGTGTTTTTTAAATGATTTTGTTTTATATGTAATGTTTGAGATCAAATACTGTAGGTATTGTAGGTTTATTTGTTCATTTGTTTGTTTCAGAAACAGAGTCACTTAATTCATTATTATATTCCCTACGATGCCTTGCATATACACCAAATACGTGATTTGAATGAAGAAGTAATTGGTACGATCTAGTCTCTAAACCCTTGTTTTCATTGATTTATACAATTGTAATGAATTATCAGTAGATGGCAGTAGTTTATTTTCATTTTTATTTTTGTCTATTCTACAATAGAGATCCAGGAAAAAAAAACAAACAAACTAAAACTGTCCCAATTTTAAAGCAGATATCTTTTCATGAATATTTGATTTAAATAAATATCCCAAGAGTTCTTCAATTTATATTGCTTTAGAACTAGAGATCAAGAAGTACCAGTTCCTTTATTTTTTATTGTGTAAATCTAATTTTTAAAAATTTTTTAGATTTCTTTATCAAATACTTTAGCAAACAGAAAAATGAGTAAGACATCGTACTTGTCTTTCTGGAGCTTAAAGTCTAATGGAGAGATACAGTATAAAATAATGGAAATAATAAAAGTAAAAAATGGAGAGATATAGTGTAAAATAATGGAAATAATAAGAGTAAAAATATGTTGAGTGGCAGGAATTTGCTAAATGCTTTGTGTGACCTCACAGTAACCCTGACAAGGCAAGCACTGCTGTTTTTTTAGTTTTATGGATAAAGACTCCGAGGCCCGGGTTAGAAAGAATTTACCTAATAAACTGATAAGTGGAACAAACTGCATTCAAGATTAGCTCTGTTCTTCTCAGGGACCTATACTGTCATAAGTCACGATATTATAAAGAGATAGAAACAGTTGTACTTAAGAGAGAGAGGAAGAAAATCACATGTACCCAGCAAGATCAAGAAAGACTTCTAAAAGAAGATGCCTTCACAGAGAGAGTAGAAAGATTGGTTGCAATGTTGACATGATCAGAACAGTGTTTTAGGAGTGTTATTCTGTCAGATCGATAGCTACGGTCAGATGCCTGTTATGTGCCAGGCACAGTCCTAGATCTCTGAGCTCATGGAGCTTACATTAGTAAAAGAAGATAGAAAAGAACCAAATGTGTAAGACGTTAGTGGTGATAAATGCATTAAGAAAAAAATGAGGCACGGTGAGTAAATGGAGGAAGAAGGAGAGGAGGTCATGTTTTCTAGACGGTTATCAGGAAAGGCTTCTCTATGGACATAGTATGGGGAAGTGGTAAGGAGTGACTGGATTCCGATATAATGGGAAGGTGGAACCAATGAGTTTTGCTCAAAGAATTGCATGCAGCTGGTAAGAGAAAGAAAAGAGTCAAGATTCCGGCTTGTCCTTCGGGTAAAACAGTTGGGGCAGCAGTCACAAACAGTTGGGCCACATACTTGGGGAAGATGTCCAAAGAGCTATGAAACACCAACAGCGAGCTCTCATTTATGCTTAAGGAAGTCTGGTTCAGTTGCTCTGGGCTCCCCACCCTTTTGGAGACCTCCCTGCTAATGTCTCTAGGGTTTGGAGCCTGAACAAGAAAAATGAACTTATGATTTACCAAGATGGAGAAGACAGTGAAGAAGCGAATTTGGTGGTGACGTTGAGCACCTGTGGTGAACAGAGAACTCAGGAGTTCAGTTTGGAACATTAAGTGAAACGCCTATAAGAAATCCAAGTGGAGATGTCAGGGAGGCAATTTGGTATCAGTTTGGAGCTCAAGAGGGATATTCAGGTTAGAGATATAAACTGGGGAGCCATCAACCCGTAAGTGGATTTTAAAGCAAAGGAACTAGATGACATCACCAGCAGAGTGAGTATGGGGAAGAGGCCTGAGGGTTGAGCACTAGGACACTCTGAACATAAATGTGAAAAAATAGGGAAGAACCAGTAAAGGAAACCAAGAATTATGGTGTTTCAAGAAGGAGAGCATGATCAAATGTGTCAAATTATGTGAAATTATGTGGATAGTTCAAGAAAGATGAGGACCAAACTTATCCATTTGACACAGGAACATGGGGGTCATAGATACTTTGATAACTTTTTTTTTAAACTAGGGGTAAGGAGAGCTCTTAAAATCATGAAGAATCTGGCTATTTTTGTGCTCTGTAAATTTAGGATTCAGATTACATTTTTAGCTGGCAGTTTTGCAAAGAATTATTCTACAAAATATAGATTTCACCATTAAAAATGAAAGCATAAGACTGAATGACATTAGTAGATAGTGTTGTGTCTTTCTATTGGTATGGAACTCCACTTTGGGCAAGAAATAATTTCTGAGAAGTTTGTGTTTAGTTCTGGCTGATGAACAGGGAGAAGAGAAACCTGTGAGGAGTGTTAGTCCGCTGACCTGCGACAGTTACGTACTCTCAGGCCCATTTGCATCATGCATAATATGCACCTGGTACACTTGGCAGCAGGTAATCTTCAGGGTAGGAGCAAATTATAGTCATGAAGGGAAGTCGAGGAACAGCCTGAGGAGTTTGTGGTGATAGACAAGAGATGAAACGGGAATGAAGAGTGAAAAAAAGAAGCCAAATCCGATAAAAAGAGCTGGAAAGACGGGCAGTTCACACTCTTTTTTTTAGGTGAGTTCTTATTGGATGCAAGAAAGAGGAGCCAGCTTGAGAGCTTGACTGGCATAGACTAGACAATAACTTAATTTACTTATCAGTTCTAATCGCTCCTCATATCTGCTTGGTTTTAGGCAGCACCACACGAGTGAGTGAGAATAATAAAATGCTTTGTTATTTATATTGGGAGACAAAGTGAAAATGTAAAGCAGGTGTTTCCCAGGTGAGGCTGACATATATTCATGGCTTTCTAAATTACCATCTTCACGATCCCTTGAACATGTTCTTTACTTAGAATATTATGTGACATGATTCTAGAGAGGTGGGTTATAGACAGTGAACCATACAGTAGTTGACCATCTAAAATAAAAGTGAGTTTAAATAGTGGTGTTATTTTTTCCTATAAATGCATTTTATTGCTACTTGAGCATTTACAGTACCATGGTTGGGTTCTGTAAAGCTGGCCTTGAAATGATTCTTATTGAAAGAATGAAAACTAGGAGTGTTTTTTAATGATACAGAGCAGTGGCTAAGAGTGTGTATTCTGGACATAGTAGTATTTGCCTACTCTGCCACCTGTCAGGGTTCCTGCCCTTTGCAGAGTTAATGTACTAGGAGGGAAAACCCACACACTTAGCTCAGTTTGCAGGTATTTTCCTGCAAACAAGGATTATTATAGGTCTGCATTCTATTCCTCAAGAACTCAGAAAAGATACTAGGAAAGCCCCATCGATAACAGAACACACAGCATATCTGTCTGCAGTCTCTACCAAATGAACTTGCTATAGGCTCTGAAGCCTCAGATATGAGCATGCTGGTATCTTGAGGCTGGCCACCTGAGATAGGCACGTGGCTCTGTGTAGAAAAAGAGCAGCAATAAGGTTGTGGTTTTCAGGGCTGTTCACTGGGATTCTGACTCCACTCTTTGGGTGTATAATGGAAGTCACTTATTATCTAAACTTGGGTGTGCTCACACTGGCTTTGACCAATGGAATGTAAGTAGAGGTTATATGTGCCATTACTGAGCAGAAAACTTTAAGTGAGAGCATGACTTGCCATGTTTCCTTCCCTCTTCCATGTTGATAGATGCTCATATCACGATGGAGCCTGAGTTCCCTTAGATGGGAAGAAGCTCCCGCCAGCCTAATATTGACATATAACACTGTAAAAATTAAGCCTTTGTTCTTTAAAGCCTCTGAGATTTTGAGGTTATTTATTATTGGAGCATAACTTTGCCTCTCTCTTTAAAATTTTTCTTTTAATATAGTTGTCATACAGTGTTATATTAGTTTCAGGTGTACAACACAGAACTTTTAAGGTAGAGTGGTGAATGATTAATTCCAGTGGGTTCAAGAAGAATGATAGGAAAGGAAGTAGATAGCAAACATCTGGACTATAAAGAAGAAAAAGAAATAGCCGAAGAGGGTTATAGGGTCAAGCAAGGCTGGTTATTGTTGTTGATTTCATGCGGGCTGTTCAGAATAATACGTTTGACTAAGAAGGAAATTCTGTCGAAGAAACAATTGAAGGAGTAATATTCTTAAGTGGAAGAGAGAGGACTACCAAGGAGTGGATTGGCCTTCAATGGGAGCAAGGACACTGTTCATTGCAAGAAAAGAATAGACTAGATACAGCTGCAGGTGCAGGAAGACTGGGAGGTGGGGGATTTACCATACTCTCCGATTTTTTCTCTCCCATCTCAATTAAGAAGCTGGATTATCGACTAAAAGAGGAGGGAGAAAGAGATGTGGGAGGTTTCAAGACAGAGAAGACAGGACAAAATAATTACCTATGAAACTTGGTGAATCCTAGGGGCGTAGCACCAAGGGTCTCTGAGACAGCCTTGAATTTAAAATGCGACCACAGCACCGGTGACCGTTTTCCTTTCCGCATATTTAGCCGGCTACTAGAGTGTAAGCAAAGCAGCTGGTTGGGACTTTTCCAGGGGAGTAGGACAGGGAGAGAGCGGTAAGAGGAGTGAGGACGAGTGCAAAGGAATCTGAGCCAGGTAAGGAGCAGAGTGAATATGTGACGGGCTGAGGGATCATGAAAATGTACACGAGTCAGTGTGGTTGAACCGCTTTTTTTTTTACAGTCAGAATACTAGGAATTAAAAATGAAAAATATGAGTTTGACTCTGAGATTATGGATGAGGTGTAGTTATAACGTGTGGGTGGTTGAGGAGCATGGATGAGAGAGGATGTCAAAGAACTGAGAGGTTAAGATATTAGAGGTTAAGATAAACCATCTGTGTGGATGTTGAAATCCCCCCAAAATGTAAGATGAGTCATAATAGAGACACCACAAGTCAGATGCTGTAATCTAGGAGTGAGGAGTAGAGTCAACAGGTAACAGCAGAGGAGGGTAATGCTTATCTATTCTGATGGTGTGAACGTCACAGAAAACTAAGCCGTTTTAGGAAGAGGAAAGGATAAAAGTTTGGCAATGATAACAGAGAACAGGAAAAAGGCCTCACCTCCAGATCGTGGCTTGCGGATGAGAACGCATTTTCTTTGGATGATTTCAGTTCTAACTGAAAAAACAATGAAAAGAAAGTTCACCGAAGAGCTTGAAGAATGAGACAGTTTTGCTGAAGGAAGATGGGAGATCCATGGGTCACAATTGAAGGATAAAAAAATTGGGAAGTGGTTGACATATCACATTAGAGGACTTTCGAAGCTTACTGAGGATGAGTCTCCACGATGAGGAACGACCTGGGAGTCAGGCTGCTCCTGCAGACTGAGGTTAACAGAGCTGTAGGAGCGGTGCCCACAGCATCTTAGGTAGATGTAGAGATGACACTATGATCTGGGGGAGAGAAAAGCAGGGGACTCACCAGAAAGGGACCTTAACCCGGAAGTAACTTAGCAGGACCATGAAGAATTCACCGAGTCTCCTCTTCAGTCATGCGGACCGCGGTGTCGAGGCTGCCGGAGGTCTGCAGCGCCGCGGCAGGTCCATCAGTGAGCTTCACTGGCATGGTTTTCCTAAGAAGAAATGTGGCAGGTAGTGGGAATGGAAGGGAAAGGGTCGATTAAAATGGCCTTTTAGCAACACAGAAATAACAGAAGTGGTTGGCTTCTGGAGCGGAATATGAAGACATGGCTCTTCGCTCAAACAAGTCAAACTCTTGGTCGTCTAGCATACTGGTTAAGAGTGCGAACCTAGGAGCTGCACTACCCGAATTCCCATAAAATCTCTGACACTAATAACTGTCTGATTTGGGGTGGATTTCTTGATCTCTTTGTGTTCACTGTATTTCTCTGTTAGATGAAAATTATAATAGTATCTACCTCATAGGATTAAATGAGTTATTATTTGAAGGTTAATATTTGTAATGTTCTTACACATGGCACAGAATAATCACCATATAATGTTTGCTTTTGTTGTTATTTTTTATCTAAAGCACTTAGAAGAGTCAGGTACAAAGTAAGCACTATGTAATTGTTTATCATGTAATTGTAATCAACCGAGAGAACTAACCGAAAA